GGGGATCAGCGGGAGCCTCTCGCTTTCACTGGAGCCGAGAGCCAAGAGTCTGCCCTTTTCTTTTCCATCAGACTATCCACGACCTTTGACCTATCAATTTCTAGGCATTTCCTCTAAAGTTCATATTGTACCAGACTCCAGTCTGGGAATGGGAAGGAAAAGGATATACAACTCCAGATTTATTTGTTATTACGGAATAGTTTACTGGTTTTAACAGAAGGAAAGGGCTTTGTTTAAATTGCCACTGAGCATAATTAATGGTTATTGACTGGTCAATGAAGAACAGGTGACACTCTGGATTAGAAGATGAATGATCCTGTGTTCTGGTGTGATAATGGCTTAGTAATTTGCCACAAAGCTGAGGCCGAGTGTGTCCCATCGCCATGCTCGATCGTGTCCAGGAGACAAAGGCCTCTGTGTGAGAAGAACTGGGCCGTCCGCCTCCTTTCCAGCTGCACACGTTGATCTGCTCCATTTGTTCACTGATGGATAGCATGACTGAGGCAAAAGTTCACCAGTTCTCACCTTCCTGTTCACATGCTGGACCATCTGACCCATGACACGGCCAGGCCACAGTCGGCGACCGGATCGCCACCCGCCTTGGGCTTCCAACTAGTGAGACAATTCTGAGGTTACACGTTTCAGACGTCCATCTTCTCTCTGTCTCTCAAGGAATGAGGGAGGAAAAAGTCTTCCCACATTCTTTCAGTGCCCTCTGAGGATGTGACTGACTTAGCCACTTCCTCAGATACTTATTTACTTTTATCCTGACCTGCTTACCAGTGAACATGGAAAAAACCTCCAGCCTTTTAATCCATCCCACAGGGAGGAAAGCAAATCAGTTCAGGAATGCACCAGGGCTTAAGATTCCTCCACATAACAATGTCCCTTACAGTGCAGTTTTCAAATCTTGTCTCACATTCTTTTTTTTCTCTTTGTCTTTTTCTTTCTTTTTTTTTTTCTTGTTCTTTCTTTCTTTTTTCCAGACACATGAAGTTTAAGGGAAATCTATCTCCAAGCCATTGACACCTGGTGGTCAAGTTGGGATGGGTATAAAAAGCCGTGAGATCTGGACATGTGCTCTCTTGTAACGATATCATTAACTATCAGTTCTACAAATCTAGAGAAGTCAAAATACAACTTTAATTAAACGAATTCGAATACAAACGCCCTTGTCTCCTAGTTGTCTCCTAGGTGGTCATTCAAATGATGACTGTGGAAGTGGCTCAGGAGGTTCGGGTGAGGGACATTCTGCTTTGCTTGAGACGCTGCCAGCGCTGGTGGCTGTTCGCAGCTGGACCAGTGAAGGAGAACTCCCATAGCACATCACCACAGCCGACTGACTACACCTGATTCCATGCATGCCTTCTGGGGTGTGATGTGTGTTTGTCTTAAAAATCTGGATTCTACTATTGGTCCCACCTCGCCATTAACCTCCAATTCCGTATCCAAGCCACAAACACTTATTAACTGAGCTGGCATCCATGAATAACAAGATTTGTTAATCAAGGTTATGTTTAACTATGTGTATTTGACTGTTGCTTTTTCCATCTTGAGCTTTTGTGCTTTATACGATCCTGTGGTAGAAAGTAATCTTAAAACAGGACACACGCACTCATACATATTTTAGGGGAAAAAAATCTGTGAAATAATTATTAAAAAAAAAAACCAGGGAAATCGGGCAAATGAAAATTAAAATTCTAAATAAAGGATG